AAAACACAACTAATGGGAGACCTGGTGTGCTTTGGAAACAATTTGCATTTTTGCACAGTAATGAATCACTTTCAAGGCCTGCATACTGCATGCAAAATCACCTTAGGGATGCCCAAGAAAAGCTTTTAACAGTAACATCAGAACATGGAGGTGCAAAACCTCTGTGGTTACAACAGGTTATTATTACATGTACATGTTAGTTACCTTTTCATATGGTTAAAGTTTTTGTACACAATCCATACATGTGGGCCTGTGCACGATTTACTGCACAGTGTTGGGCAGTGAAGTGTACATTTCAAGAATTGCTGACTCACATGACTTTGCATTTTTTGTGCTAAAATTAACTCATTTTTTCCTTGAGGCAAGGTATTGTGGCTTGCCTTCCTTTAACAGAGTTTTATGAATAAATTGCTGCAATTACATGTATCTGTAGAGTGAAGCCTTTGGATTTTTACTATTGGTTGATCACACTTTGAGTTTCAGGTTATTGTTAGTGGTAAGTGTTGGACAACTGAACATGTACATGTTCACCCATCACCTGGTAATGTAGCCATCAGTAGCTACTGCCATACCTCCGTCTGGTATATTGTGTTTTTCATTGGCCCAGAATGATCACATGCACATGCCCCAGCAGCGTACAGGAAAGCAGGGGCTGCTTACCACTGATTTTCAAATATTCCTTTGTCGCCCTTAATTTTCCTTCGAAATTCATGTATTTATACATGTAAGTGAAGAAATCAAGGTAGAGATATGACTGACAGTTATGTGGGATGTGATGCTTTGAACACTCTTGGGTACACCTAGTGCCTTGAGTTTTCAAAATGTCATGTCCCACATCACAGCAGTCCGTAGTTGTTAATTGTCAGTCATGCATGGATACATGTACCTGGTCATGCAGATAGAAGGACCACAACCAATTATACATTATTCTATTGTGTAGTGTTTCACCCTTGTCAACTGACTGATCAATTGGTAAGAAGTCTGCACTAGTGCATTACTTCATAAAAAATGATTTACGTGCAGTGTACTTTAAAATGCTTGGTTTTCATATTCCTCAACAGTGATTGTATCCTATGGTGACAACATTCCTTCACATCTTCACACTCCTGATTGTCAGTCAGTCAGTCATTTTATCATCGGCTGACCACCACTCAGAAGTACATATCGTCACATTGGAGAATCCACACAGAGTGGACATAGGGACTGCCAATTTCACTATGTCTAGGCACATCACCCAAGCTATTCTGAGCCAGGAGCAGGCAGAAGGTGTTGGGGCTCGTGTCAGGCGCAGCGTAGGCAGACCTGAGGTATGTATAGGCCTTGATTTTTGACAGGACTTGGTTGTGTGTTAAACTGGAGCAGTGCAGGCCCAATCCCATGGGCTACTTTACGTACTATATAAATGCTGCCTGTAAATGCATTGTAACATTAACCATGTGGTATTTCAAGCATTTGTCTTGCTGACACTTGCTTATTAAGCATTGGCATGCCATATTGTGGGGTTCTCTGCAAATTACTCATACACTGTATGTAGTGAGCTTTTTCTTTGCTGTGCTTGCTGTGTTGGCAGATGTACATGCACATGACATTAATGTTGGGCACAATCAGTTGATCTGTGTGATCACTCATTTTTTGTGCTATCTCTTGATCTTATTGAAGGATTTGTTGATAATCTGGTCATCAGGCAATCTGGTTTCCCTTCTAACTCATGGCTGTTGAAGACTGTTACTAAAAAGGGAAGTGATTTAAGTCAGAAATTGCATACAGGATTGACTGATAGTGCCATGAGATTGTGCAATCGCGCTGATGGACTGATCATGCCCAACCGTAAGATGCACAAAATGGGCATGAGATAAACAAAAGGTAATATAAATTCCCATACATGTGCATTGGATGCGTCTTGTAGAGACTGATACTACTGTAAGTATCATACAATGTATGTTAGTATTTTTTATTCCAAACTGACCATCTTTTTTTAATTACTCAATGATCTCATTGCAGAGAGAACTCCCTCTTTTTGTACAGTATTGAAGCCATTTTTTCCCAGGTGTATTTTATCATGTGTCATTTTTTTAACAATATTTTTTGTACTAATGGCATTCCGTAGCATTTTCAATGGTCTTTAAATGTTGGAATCTGCCAGCACTTGTAACATAATGCGTACATAACATACTGTACATGTATACATGTACATACATGTATACGTGTATGTTAAGTTTTTGGTTGAGTGTGCCAAGGTTGCTTCAGTGGTCTTCCTCGTTGCTGTTTTGTCCAAAAACTTGCTCTTGTCATAAGGTGTGTACATAAGGTGTATATACACTGCCTTAAATGATATGCAAACAGGAGCACACATGATATGCATGTACATGTACAAATACGTCGACCCTGAACAATGCCATTACTATTGGGAATAAAGCATCCTGTTGAAATGGGGCAGTGGAGATCGTGCATTTAACCACTGTCACATAAAAGTATTTATGGGAAGGTCATGTGAATAGGACTGAAACCCAGAACCCTTATCCCTTCCCTCAGTATAATCCACAGCCTTTGTCTATGGTTACCAGTATGTACCTAAGAGTTTGTTGCAATGAAACTGTCTTCCATCCTTTATGCATGTCCTTTGGTCTTCATCAGCTGAGAAATCTGGACCCCTTCTTACTGTTAGATGAATTCAAAGGAAAGAAACCAGGTGGCTTTCCAGATCACCCGCATCGAGGATTTGAAACAGTAAGCATACTTTGTTTTCTCAAAGACATTTCTTTACGCCTGTCAAAATGGTTTATTATTTTTCTTGTACAAACAAGACATGTTTCAAAGACCTATAAAGACAGTGTCATGTTCATCAGTTATATTTCTTCCCTACATGCATAACATTGAAAGCCTTGGCCAAATATAATATGCTTTTTCCATAAATGTGGCTTTCTGACAACAATTTATGGAACTAGTGTACATGTAGAAGTTTTTATTCCCATTCATAAATACCTTTTTCAGTCAGAGAGTTAAAAGAAGTTACTGTAATATATGATGGATTTCCAATGATTCTGTCAAAGAATTTTAATTTCATTTTCCCAAACAGCCTTGTCCATTTCATGGTATATTCCTTGTGCAAGTTGTCTGAAAGAATCTTCTTATATGGACTTAGCATGTGTGTAGCGAGCCGCATACACACAGACTCTTGACCAATCAGAATCAAACTGTCTTGTATCCAGGTGCCAGTGTACACAGTGGGCATTATCATTTCTCAGTGGGCATTATCAAATGTTAGTACACAGTCCAATTGAATGTGTTTGGATAGGAAGACTGTCTGAGGTACATGTATTATGAATAAGGGATAAAGTGCAAAATGTTGAAAATCCATCTTTGCACCAGCATACTCCCCAAAATCAAAACTGAAGGAAGAAAGAAAGGAAGGGAAAATCATATTTACGGTAACTGGAGAACAGAACATTACTGTACAATGATATTTTGTCACAAGATCAAAACTCATGCCATGACAATTTTGGGTTCAACATTATTACAACAGCACTGCTCCTAGACCTGGAATTATATCCCATAAGCCTGACAGTCTTCAATCCTCCAATTTCAATATCATTTTACGTACAGTACACCTATGGGATTATGGTTAATGGTTCAAACCGAATTAAGTGGATTGGTGTGCATCAAGCACTCTGAGAAAGATGTCTTGAGACAAAATCTCAAAATCCTCTTGGCAGGTTCACCAGGAAGCCTCTGTAGCTCTCCCTTGAACCTAACTTCCTTCCATCTTCCAGTTTCCGTTGTAATATTTCTCACTCACGTTAGGCTAAGTTCAAGTATTTATTGAATATTATGTGCATACGTGTATTTCTTGAAACCAAATAAAGAGTTCTTGAACCAATGTTTTGTCAGGTATCCTACATGCTGTCAGGCAAGTTTGCCCATGAAGACTTCGCTGGTCATTCGGGCATCATTGGCCCTGGTGATCTGCAGGTGAGTAGCATACTAACACGTTTATTAATCCAGTGAGCCATTTTGTCCCCATATTGTATCCCTGCTGCATGTTGCACTCAATTCTAAAGAGATGATTCATGGAAAAAAATTATGGGAAACTGAGCAATTTGACTTCCTCTGAGAACTGCCAGAAAGGTGAACCTTGAAGGAAGTGGATTTTCATTGAAGAAAATGTATGAATTTTGTTATAATTCATTTGCAACTTGAATTTTTGCACTGTGTTAGACCAGCGTCCTCATGCAGAAGCATACAGGACAAAGGCTGCCACAGGTTTAAATGGGCCAGAGCCAGGAACACTTGCATCTGTGACCGCAAATCGCTATTGCACGACTGTATATAACAGACTTTTTTGGTGGACCCTGTCATGTTCGTTATAGTGGCATTCCACTGTATGTATTACAACTCTAAGATAGCACTAGCCTTTCATGGCAATAATTTTCAGATGATGCACAAATCCAAACACACATAAAAAACAATGAGATAAGACGACCCTCAGACTGATCTTAAGTTAAGATGAGTTCAGCTGTGTTGCTATGGAAGTTAGGCGTTGTTGAACACGTCATACGTTTGGTGAAATCAATCCGAAGACAAGTCACAAGTGAAGACAAGTTACCCTTCCTAAGAGGTATCTTCCTGGTTAGCCCTAAAACAGTCCTTGCCAGTAGCCTTCCAGGGTGGATGGTGCATTTTCCTTCTCTTTTAATGCCTGTCCTTTTAACTGCTGCTTTCCATACCACTTACTAACTAAGTGGTCTGGAAGGTAGACCATAGTAACATGTACTGCATTTGTTAGCACCACTGCATGGTGTAATGGGTTCTAGAAAACCTGGAACAGTGTGCATGTAGTCACCAACAGCACATCTAAATGCAGGGTTTCTGACCAACTTCATAAAGAACTACTCATTTGAAGCTGTTTGCATTGAAATTGCTTCCACTGTCTGCCAAAATAGTGATGCCGAACTTCTTGCTTCTCTCTAAGAGGGGATATGTTAGCTGTTGTGGCTTGTTTGTTGCCCATTATTGCCAGTGACACTGCACTCGGAGACATTGCTGTTAACATGAGGATGTTCACTGCTGCATATTTAAGAGAAAAGAAATGTAAAAATGACTGAATTTCATAATTAAAACCTAATTTCACAATCTTTATATCTCATGTTTATTATTTTGTATGTTCTTGATAGATATTAAAATTAGAGGGAAACAGAGAATGATTGGAATAGTGCAAAGGGGCAGTTCAGAGCAGTCCAATGTGAATGCTTTTTACATGCGTATTAAATATAGAATAAGATGTTGCCGCAGGAATTGAGTCCACACACAAGAACCTTATACTCTTGAATCATTGGAATCTGTCAGCCAGTAGTATTTCCTTCCCACCTATATGTCAGTTCTGTCAGAGTTATCAAGTCGAGATATCATGTACATGTACGTGTAGCCACCTGGGGTGATAAGTACATGTGCACAAAGTATCTTGTAATAATGGTAACATACATATAGGTTAGGGCTAGTCATGGTGACATCATGGTAAGAAGTTTAGAACACAAAGGCAGAGTGGCCAGAAATGTCAGTCTGTGTGGTGGAGATCTCCCTAGAGCCAATCTGATATCAATCAAGTCAGTGATGGCATGATTAGTATACAGCACAGCTGGTTGAATGGATACAGAAACAAGAGAAAATCATAAAAAAAATTGCATTGCAAACAGAAACTACAGAAACATACAGGTCGCACGCTAGCTTCCATCATAGCTGCTTCTAGCCATTGTTGGTTTTTTGCTATCTTTTATTAGTGGTGTGCGTTTATGGGTATGTTTGGAAGTGAGTACCAGTTTTATGTCAATACTGGGTACCTGTGTACCCTCAAAATATAAAGAACACTTAACAAATGGCATTGCATGCAACCTGAGCAGACCATGTGCCTGAAAGAGGGCTCTTCTTTCATACATAGGAAGCAGCACATTGTTCTAAACGTCAGAGGGGAATCCCCTCCGCCATTGTATTAAAAGAAATCGTTACCTTCAGTTTGCAACAAAATTAGCTCTGTCGATCTCTGAACCTGGGTTTTCAGCAGCATAGTGATTTTTCAGCCCTTCACTATAAAGTTTCTCATAGAATTAATTTTTTTATGGTTACCCAGCCCGAAAAATAGAACCGGGTTTTAAAATTGATGGGCAGGTACCTAGGTAGCCGAGTGCCTGGCACAGGCCTATCTATCAAGCCCTGCCTAAACATTCCATTGGGGGGCTCTTATGTGTTAGGGACCACTGATATTCACACCTATCTATATCCTTGCGGTAGGAGGATATTTCCTTTCAACTACTGTCGTTATTTATGCATTTCAGTACATGAAAGTACTACTTTTAAAACCCTTACTATTATTTTCATAACACAGTGGATGACTGCAGGTCGAGGCATCGTCCACTCTGAAATGCCAGCCACTGAGGACATGTGCCATGGCTTGCAACTATGGGTCAATCTAGCCAGTGAATTCAAGATGGTGAAGCCAGAGTACCAGGAGTTATTGAGTAAACATATCCCCGAGGTGGAGAAAGATGGAGTCAAAGTAAGGGTTATCGCTGGAGAAGCACTCGGCAAGAAGGTAAGATGGTCACTGCTCACCTTAGCTGCTGATGTATCGGTGAAGCTTAACTCGTTGGTTGTTCAGATCTTGACGGCCAATAATCTGTACGATTTCTTGTGATGAAATGCTGGCCTAGAGAGGTATTTGTCTTCAAACCTCAGGGCAGCATATTTGCGTTAGATGTTGCGTTGCCTAAGCTATCAGTACAGGTATAGTGGTAGAAAAGCCCCGCCCAAATTACTTGGCTGTAACTAGAGATAACTCATCTGCCTGTTGAAGCTGTTACCTACTGTAGCTATGGATATTTCACCCAACAGACATCAGTGATTTCCAGCCGTAGCCAAGTAATTTGGAAGTGGCTTTAGATGTCCATTTTGAAATGACAAAGAGGGTCATTTTTGATATGAATGTCTGTATAACCTTAAGTTTATGCTTTTTACAATAGCAGAGACTTAACATCTTTTTTTTCATGTTTGCAGTCCAAGGTTCGTACCAGAACACCTACCTCTTACTTGGATTTCACGCTTCAGAAGGGGGCTGTCTTAGATCAACCCATCCCTCAAGGCTGGACAGCTTTTGTCTATGTGCTGTCTGGAAAGGCCTTCTTTGGTGAGTAATATGCACAGACAAATGCTTTGCTGTAGCTGACATATGGGGTACGAGTTGGCCAACTCTGTTCTGTTGAGATAGAAGGTTTGCCCCAATGATGCAGTTGTATTCTCTTGATATTAAGCACAAACATATACCTGAATCATGTTGTTTATTGAAAACGTCAGAGAAGAAATGTAGGCCTATGATAGTCCCATCAGTCTCAAACTCATTCATCATACATACACTGTTTGAAGCAAAAGATGACGAGTCCTAAATATGTACCGTGTTGGTAGATACAGCTAGCATCATCCTATTTATCCATGATGGTTTGTAATACCTCAGTGTTCACTGGGCCTCTAAATACTTAGTCACGACTTAAAGTGTACAGTTTGCTTTAGTTTTAAACCATAAGTTTCAGGAACTTTTTGATTTCTCGAATTTGGTACAAAGGAACTGGTGAGAAGCAAAGACAAGGTGAACCACACCACACACTGGTGCTGAGTGATGGGGACCATGTACATGTTGAGAATAAGGTAATGGCAGTTGAGGACTGAAGGCCCTGACTACATGTTGACTCTTAGTAGGCCAGATCTGCATCTCAAATGACTAATTTACATTGGCATAAGTTCATTTCAAATAATAGATTGGTAAATTTTCACATGTCTTTGGGGGAGGGAGGCACTGATCTGTTAAGTAGTTGAATTCATCAACATCTTATTGACTGAGTTCAAGGCAAAACAGTGAATGAATTTAAAGTTACTGCACAAATATCATACATTTTCACATGTACTGTTGGCTTTTATCGAGTTTGTACAGTTTTTTACAGTCATTGCAGAGGATTTGCTCCATCTCCTGATTAATGATTTTACCAGTCCACATTCAGTGGTAGTATCTTCTTAGTTTGGGGCTTTTTGATTCCCTACAGGCTTCAGAAGCCTGTCACTTTGTGCTGATATCAGGCCAGCCTATAGGGGAGCCCATTGTACAGCATGGTGAGTAGTCTTCAAAGGTAGCTTTTTTGTTTCTTTGAAAATGAGACAAGGAAACAGAGTTTGATTAGGAGATTATGTACCCCATGAATTCAAAAATTAAATTGGTGTGAAATATTTTACGGCTTTGAGGTAGAAAAAATGAGCATCTTACAAACACTGTTTATGAATTAACAATGGGAATTTTTACCTCACAGTATGCTTGGAGTTTTTGTAATTGTTCTGTTAATTTTTAACTGAAAAAATTTTAATTAACACATTAATATTAAACATTAATATTAAACAAATTCATTTACAATGATCTACCTGGATTTCATTTTGGGTAATTCAAGCCAATAAATCTGACTTATTGGAATCAAGATATTGTAGAAGAAAAACATGCCATCTGATTCCAAGTTTGTTTGAAATATATTCTTCACTGTTCTCTCTTCCTGGGCTTGAAAGCAGTGGTTGTGGCTGTGGATGATACTGTAAAAGAATCCTCAGTTGCGTGACCAATTGTAGTCATTTGCCAGTGTGTTTTATGAATGAACTCCTTTGGAATGACTGTCTTGACATGTTACATGTATGTTGTGTCATTTACATTCTCAATCCACTGCAGGACCCTTTGTCATGAACACTCAGGATGAGATTCTTCAGGCCATCTCAGATTACCGCAGTGCGGTCAATGGCTTTGAGAAAGCTCGCACATGGCGCTCCAAGATGGGTAGTACGTTCTAATCTATCTGAAAGTTCAAGATATGACAAGCCGGAGTACATCTCCCTGCATGTGCAAACCAGGTAGAGGTAGGGTTTATGTTGCTCAGTGTCATCATGTTGGTTTGTATTTATGACTGTTTATTGCTTTCTACAAAGTGGCTTTCGTGATGGAAAGGTTAATGGTTGGAAATTGAGCTGGTGTCTTCTGCTTGTAGCAGGTGCCAGTCCAAGCTTATATATGGGCAAAAAGAGGTACAGAAATGACTGTCTAAATGGTACGTTAGGAATGTCTTGCTTGTTGCATTTGAACTGTTACATATTCAAGAAGATGTATTCAAAACATAAGCAAGGTGCTTTCTGGTGTCAAGAAATATTGAATGTTTGAGATTAGTTGAAGGGATGTCACTGTTTCATGCTAATGCGAGGAGTTTATGAAAGCAGGATTCTCAGCTGGTTCCTATTTTACTACTCAGCATGGAAAGCCTAGGTTTAGTCTTGAAATCAAACAGTCATGAGTTATACACACAGAAATACTGGAGTATGTCATTGTAAGTTTGTTAAAGAATCATAGGCTTAATAGATATAACACGCCACATTCGTGTACACTGTTAGCCATGTCTGAACACTCTGAATGACAATGATCACAATGTTGTATTGGGTCCGCAATGTACACAACATGACAGTACATGCTTCTCTTGATACACAAGAAATGCCTGAAATATCACACACAACAAAAGCTTGGCAAGAATACACGTACATAGATATGGTATCTAGGAAAGCAGCCACTGAGAGGTACACTGGACAAAAGTATTAAAATCCATCAGAAGAACCACAGGCATATGTGGGGACTGCATGAGGCAAACAAGGGTGGTAGCTCAACTGTACAGATAACAGTGCTCGCTGGCTAACTGGGCACTCGCTCCTCCTCACACACATCACACACTGGCAGTCATCCCTGAATGCCAAACACAGCCACCAACTTAGCCAATTAACCAACCCAATTGAAGAATACATAGCCTGAAATCTAACCGCTTCTTCCCAACTTACAAATAACACAGTTCATCTTATATCTAAGCTCAACGTTCCAACAACTATTACTCGAAGGCATGCACTGTCCATGCACAAAAACTACATGCGGCTTCACTGTGCATACATGATACAATGTAGTCATGAAACTCTTGCATTTCAAGACAATGCTACCTTATATTGCCAACAATTTTCTTTTTTTACTACTACTGACACCTTTCAAAACTAGCACCAAGATTTCCCATGATAAAATGCAGACAAAGTATGACAGAAAATTAGTAGATGTTATCCACCAATTTTAAACAAGTTGTAGTAAAAATTATCTCAAAATTACCATAATTTTCAGAATATAAGGTGCGGCTTATATGTTGATTTTGCCTGTGAAAATGGTCGGAGGGGCTTGTATTGAAGTCTCTTTCTTTTGAAAATGTGCAGTTTCTTTTTTGTTTAATTATTGGGGCATAAAACGGGACCTATTTTTCCTATCTATTTTCAATCTTGGGGCAAGAGACATGGGGCCTCTTCCTACTTATTTTTCTTTATTAAGATAAAAGGGATCTTTTTCTTTTTTTATTGGAGGAGAGCACTGAGTTCTATCTCTTTTAAAGATGTGGTAGCTCTGAAAAGAGCTGTTGGTTTTGATTGGACGGAGTAGTTGATTCACAAGTGGAATCCTTCGAAGTCGCTCTCTTCGCTGTCGCTGTGGAAAAGTTTGGCCAAGTCCGCTTCCAACTCGACCGAGTCCTCTACGTCAGACTCCCCTGTCTCTTCCCCTGTAATGATCTTGGCCTTGATGAAGCCGTTGATGATGGTCTATGGCTTCACAGCTTTCCAGGCAGCGACGATCCAGTTGCACACCTCAGCATGCGTGGCCCGCTGCATCCGTCCGGTCTTGGTGAACATGTGTCCAGCCCCTCAGCCATCCTCTCCTCCCAGGCCTTTCTGATGTGGAGTTTGAAAACTCGGTTGACTGAAATGTCAAGCGGCTGTAGTTTCTTCATGGGGCCACCACGGATCACTGCTAGTGTTGTATTGTGCTGAGTGTGAAACATCTTCTTGACGCTGTCTTCCTTGTGGGCTGTCATCGAGTCGAGTACGAGTAGAGAAGTCTTGTCGAAGAAGGCATTGGGGCGGCCACTATAGCACTGCTGTGCCTACTCGTTCATGATGTTAGTGTTCATCCACCCTTTTTTGTTGCACACCACTGCAACACCTGCAGGCATCTTCTCTTTGGGGGGCGTGGTCCTCTTGAAGATGACCGTAGGCTTGAGTTTCTTCCCGGGATGCAAGGATGTTGCTATAATCTAGCATGAAGTGGAGATATCTCACAAATTTCTCAGTTTTCATTTCTTGCAAGATGCCTTTTGCCTGAGATGCGTCCTCTGGGGTCACCATGTCTGCAATACCACCGGCCATATTTTCCATGTGTAGTGTAGTTTGTCTCCATAGCTTTCAGGCTCCTTTGCCTGCTTAGGAGCCATCTTGTGCTCTTCAGAGCACTAAAGTGACAAAGGTTCTCATGAATGATACTGCCAATTTCCTTCAGCTCATGTCGCTTTTTTGGGGAGTAGTAGTATATCTTAAATACTGCTTTCAGTATCTCCTCAATCTGGCCAAGTACGGAGCAGTCTTCACTGCATCAAGTACAGCTAACTCAAGTTTATGTTCAATGCAGTGCAAAATGATGGTATGGGGAACACGCTCAAGCAAACGCACTGCATCACCACTTTTTCTCCCCATGCTTCACTATCAACAATCCAAACAGTTTTCAAGGCATCATCAATGGCATTTAAAACCCCTGCAGCATCTGCATGTTTAACAGGTTGACATGCAGCCAATTTTGTGATAGATTTCCCATCATATATGAAACGAACATACACGGCTTCTTGCTCAATGATACCGGAGTCGGTGCTCCCATCATTGAGACCTGACACAAATCTGGCATTTGCAGTGCTCTTTTTTGTCTTGGCCACTTCTGCTTGAGCCACGGCCCTAATAAAATCCCTGCATGTGTGGTCATTTATGTACATGTCTTTTATTTCAACACCATTTACTTGCTGCAGGTTGCACATATCGGCAAACTTAGCAATGTAATATCCATCCTGATGCTGCGGTCATGTAGTAATAATCGATACCCAATACTAGGCCTAAACTTACTTGAAGATCAGCTCAGGATTTCAACAATTTCAGGGTTACTCATTGTCACACCAAAATCCAGTTAAATGCGACTATACCAACATGGTTCAAATTAACTTTTGAGAATGCACGCACAGTACCGCAAAGTGGAATCAGTAAAAAGCATTTTGTAACGGGTGCCCATCATCCCCTTGAGTTGCAGAGATCACGCAATGAATGAGTTGGATTACCAGTGAACACGTGTGACTACATCGCCTCACGTGGTCTGCAAGTTTTCAGCAACTTAAGAGCGTTTTCAAAACGAGTGGATTCGGCTCAGCCTTCTGTTTCACTGGTTCTAGTCAGAGCTTGAACATGTGGTTTTGAACGCTGCTTCAAAACGGCTGGAGCCAACAAAAGCGAAGTCGAAGCTAAATCTACTCGTTTCAAAAATGCTCACAGTCGTTTCCTACGCGTAGTATCAGATCGCCTGTGCAAATACATGTACACGTATGATCCTCATAAACTGAATTACACGTGCGTAACAGATTTGTACGCGACGTAATGGGTTTGTCAACTTGCTGCGTGTAGGATTTGTGGTCGAGTCAAGTCAAAATTTATGCAGGCTATCAATTTAAATACACTGAAATTTTAGTATATAAACTAATTCCCTTTAAAATAAGACATGGTTTACAAAAATATGCTTGTTACAATGATTTTGGTTGAAAAATGGTTTTACGCTTGTAGTTGTATGTGTACAGAATTTTTTGAAGTGATCCGGAACTGGCTGAACCGATCCGGAACGAGGGAAAAGTGTTGTCGTCACTTTTGTTGATCTTGTAAGACACAATTAAAAGCTTAAAAGTTGAACATATTTTACCTGATGCGTCCGAATACAGTGAGTAAGAATACTCTAAAACCTTCTGTATTGGGGTACCATTTAGGAAATTAATTTGACTTTTCCAGAAAATCAGTTCTTCATGGGCTTTATTGCTTACGAAGACTGGAGCTTCCCAGCTAACTCTGCTGTTAATGCACCTGAATAGTTCTCCAGAGCTGAACAACTTTACCTATTGCAACTTGAGCGGATATGATCTGGCCTGCAAATTCAGCTATCTCCTTGACCGGAACCAAGTTATTTCTTTCCAAGTTTTCCAGCATTCTCTCTATCGAATGGACGATCTTTTGCGCTCTTCTTTCAATAATGTAAACTTTTCCTTCTACTGTGTTCCAATCTAATCCTAACCATGTGAGTTTGGTTTGTGGTTCCCAAGTGCACTTTTCCTCGGCCAACAGAGAACCGAAATCTTTCAGATCCCTGTGTACTTACTTCTTGTGCAGTTGCCAGGTCCTTAGCTCCCCCTAAGTCATCGTCTAAAAATATTATTATCTTGTGACCTTTTGACCTCCAGCAAGTAATCACAACTCACGTGATCTTGGTGAAAATATATGGTCAGAATCAGCAAATTTCCAGCATATTAATATAGGAGATTTCATCAATTATTTGGAGTCCTGTCTGGAGTGTCTCCCATCTCATTTTGTCCCTGGAAAGATACATATGATTTGTAAAGAACATCTCTGAGAGTGTATCTTACCTAAACAGCAAAACCTTCATCTCCAGTTGACTGTCCAGACCAAAAGAAATGTCCTACCATCCATACAATTTCTTTGAAAAGTGCATATCCAAGCCCGCTAATTCCACACAGACGACAGAACTTTCCACTTGCCCATGCCAGAATTGGCAGTGTCATTGATCAAGAACTAAAACTGTGGATGAAGTACTGTTACAATCATGTTCACATCATTGAGTCGCCAGGAATTAAGTCAGCTGACAATGCAAAGGGGGACATGTCATAAGCAGTTTGTCTCATCTATAGACCAATAGGCCCCAACATACTTTTTTCCCTTGGATTTGAGGCTCTTTATTTTGCCATGATATTAACCTGTTCATTCTCTTCATACCAGAGATGTCAAATGTGACATGCTCCAACAAAACCCGGACAGAATTGACAATTTTTGTTTTTCAGATTTTGCTGTTTTTCAAAATCTCCAGGTTTTCAGCTTTATAATGATATATCATTTAAATATGTACCCCACTCCATCACCCCTTGGGGAAGGATTTAGTAATAAAGCCCTGACAACCCAGATAATGAGATAAATAGCTTTGGAGTGTAGGAATTGTGTGTAACTAGTGTTTATCTGCTTTTCAAATTGTGGAATGGGAAATAGGGTGTAAGAAGGAATGATTTGTTGAGCAATGGAAATGGAAGCGAGAGGTCCATTTTGGCATGATATTTCTGTTCAGTTCCTATAAAGTAATATGGTGGTAAATATGTCGCAAGGCCCTTTTGAAGATTTTTTTCAGAATGTCATGAATGAAAAATATGTCCACTTTGTAAAATTTTGCAAGTTACATTTCCAGGCAAGGGTTCTGGAAGCGCGCTATTACTAGGGGTCAGCTTGAGGCTGTACTCCTGTTTTTCGAATTTCGGACGGGCTGTGCCCAGTCGAAAATTTGAAAAAAGCACATTTGTAAATATTTATCGTACACGTTGTCAAAGCCATATGAAACATGCATGGTGTTCTTTCACTCTACGTTAATGTGAAAGCAAAACCTGCATACTTACATCTGTAATTGTTCCTTCAATACTGACATGGCTTCCCTTATGGATTGAAGCTACTAACTGTACTTGGCGCAGTGGAGGATCAATCAATACCTCCGCTCCTCTGAAAAATTCGTTTGGAACACTCATATCTGGGCATTTGTGTGCCTTGGTTTGTTTGTTGATCAGAATTGTATTTGGGGATCTCCCTTTCTGAAAATCCCTCAGCAGAATAATGTCACCTTCCTTCAAACCAACAAGCCTGTTGTCATAGACGATCGCTTTCAGTACTCCAGTACTATGCGAAAGAGATACTTCTAAAGCGTTGTCTGTTCTTTTCATTTTCACAATCTTACATCGAATACCTCTGCTCTGTGGTTTGTTAGTACTTCCCAGCCTTTTTATTTTGTGGATGGACTCCATGTTGGAACTAGTTTGACTGCGGTATCTGCAACAACCAACTGTAATGTTTCGTGACTCTCGTCTCCCACAGCTGGAGCAGGAGCGTGCTAATGGTATGACGTCACTGATCTTGTATCTTGTTCGTGATTGCTCAATCTTATTTAAGTAGTACCTTGTAAATATTTATGACTACATCGGTGTATGCCATTGGCTGATTTCATGGCTTGTCTTTCAACTTTAAATCCCACCCAGCAAAATCATGTGGCCCATCACATTGTTATACTTTTGGGCACAACACATTTTTTGGCAGACCTCCCAGGTTTTACTGGGAAGCAGCAAAAGACAGTGGTGGATGGCCATAATTACTATAATTAATAATGGCGTCCCTGGGTGTAGGCTTTGGCCTTTTCCCACTTCATTTCTCCTAGCATATTTTGTGCAATTGATGACGGCTGTGAAATGTAAAGAATCCAGCTTGTATTCCGAAGTATAAATGGGTATACCACATGTACAAACACGTCACGGGTGTGTACACACAAGGGAGAGTTACTTCAAAACATATCTTCCCATTATTTAAATAACCTGAAACTTTGCATAGTTGAAGATTATTATGTGCAACTGACAACCGTGGTGCTGGCATGGCGGATGGCAACTCTCTTGGTGGCAATTTGGGTGGGTCCCGAAGAAGTTGAAAAGCTTTCTCTTTGCCATCACGTGGACACAGTACCTGGGTGCCGCTGACTGAACCTGCATTTATGTGAGGAAACAAAAAGCTGGTTCATTATTAATATTTCTAGGCCACAACGACTCCATGATCTCAGAAGGTTTGATAAATTTGCAAGGCCTGACAGCCATGTTTTGGTGATTTTTAGTACATGCAGCTCAAAAAGAACTTAAAGTGTTAACAGCACCTTTGCGTTTAAGGGGCCATTCATAAAGCATGTACGGGAGAGGGGTAACCTTACGTAGACCATACATACTGGGGGAGGGGCTTTAAAATGTCGACATTTCGTGCATATTTATTCAAGAAATTTGAATAACGGTGTTATTTGGAAATAAAAGTAACAAGGCTGTTAATTAGATACATGCACTTCATGTTCTGCAAGGACTTGGTCCCTGGTAGAGCAACAAAATATGGCCTCAGGAATTCTTGCCAGTCGTATGTTGGAACAAACACTTCTCCTGCCTCTGAGCCGACAATTCTTGGGATGTTGACGCCAGATATAGAGCTGCTCAAGACACCATTGTGTGGGCAGCCATCATGAAGTTCAGTGTCAAGTTTCTGTTCAGGCCTTGGATGGTGCGCTTTGCAAAGTACCATAACACGTACCTGTTCTTGTTCTGTCCGGAACAAGTATGACAATGCAGGTGACTATCTGTTTCACCTGCACCGAATTTGGCAAAGAAGTCATGAACGTAAGCTTTAGTTGAGCTTCACGACTAACCCCCAAAAGTCCACACTTTCTTGGACACAGAAAGTACATTGGTTCCGGCTGAATGGGATCAATAGAAAAGTGCACCTGTTGTGCATAGTTGAATGAGTAGTGGTTTGCTTCTTCACGGTTACAAGGGAGGTTGCATTCCAGCACTACTCCTCCAAATGAAGCCTTTGCCTCACTGACCATGCTCCTAGAAAGGTTTTATTCAGCAGCCACAAGGTGAAGGTGCTCCTCTTGCATCTGTACTCAAAGTAGCTTGTGTTCTTCCGACAGGTTGGCACTTCTGTAAACCACACTGTTACGTCATTGGCACTGTCAGCAGAGGTCACTCATTGGTCTCGTCAATATGAATGGGGTGTATTGCTTCCAGAGTTTCCCAAATGTTGAATGTTTAGTGATCTGACCTTGAGGAAGGCCTGTTAAATGAATACATCATGAGCATTTGTAAAAAAAAAAGTGAATAAAACATTTCTAAACAAAAAGACAGGGACAATCAACTGGTAATGTATTTCTCTTTTACTTAGCCTGAACTGAAATATAATCTAATCTAATCTCCGTACAGACCATATACAGTAGAGGAATTTGTGTAGATCTTGTACAGTACTGGCTCCCAGAATCTCAATTTTTACTCTTTCTTTAAATTTGTATTAATAATTTAAACAAAATAATACCAAATAAGCTACTTCATTGGATGGGTTTTGGGAAAGGATTCAGCTAAATAACATTTTTGTGTACATGTACCTGCAATACTCTTGTTGTGCAAAGACCTTCTGTAAAGTGCATTTCACCACCCCGTCTACACCACTGACATTACAATGAATATTCATTATAAAGTTGCCACCAAAGCAGCTGATCAGCTGCTTGCAACAGCTGAGGATTCCTTGTTGACACCGAATTGCTAATGGCATTTTGTGCATTAAATATACATACATGCAGCCAATAATATCTGCATAGTATGAAGCTAACACTGTGTGTAGGCTGTTTTTTATGTTGGCGGGTATGAAATTTTAGCAACGAAAAGTCAGCAACAACTATCTCAGACTCAAAGCATCATGAGCATGGTTGAGAAACACATGCTCAGTGCTCAGAGTCAGACATGTCAGACCATGCGTTTCCAAAAAGCTTTTTAGGCCTACAAGTAAACGTAAATGTTCCTTCCAACTTAAGAGTGTGTTTCATTATTAGTCATTAAGTTACAGACCTTGCTTTATAGCAGAGAAATTATCCAAAAAGTGAAGTGATTTCTTGGCAAATTTTGCATGGTCTTCATGTTCAAAGTAATTCACATTCAGTGTTACAATTTACAGACATTTAGAGCATAGGTTGGTTTACATACATAAAATAAAATACATTGCACAGTGTTTGCAATGAACCAAGTTCTGAACCTATTACAGTAGATTTTGATTTATAAGTTTCTTACGGGTTTCAATGAAGGCTGGATCCTCATGCAAACAATTTCTGTCTGAGTGGCAACAGAAGTGCAGCCCACACACTGTACAAGAAACATACGTCTTCAGTTCAATACGCTTTGCCTCATTCTGTTTTGATTTCCAGTCGCAAGAAGTACAGTTCTCAGCTTCTACCCATGTTAGTAGGTACGCATGGCCTGTTTTTGGCCAGTACTGAGATGGATTTGCTGGTATTTCATCAGCTGCTTTGAACATGTCAATTATCTGTACTACTAGCTTCTCCTTCAACTCAAGCTGACCATAGAGCTTGTTCGTATGCATCTGTCCTGGATTATAGTCTCTCCATTTTTGTGTACTGTATGAAACAGTTTACAGTAACAACATCTATCAGGTGAAAGAAGAACGTCAACCACCACCAACTGACCTTGCAGAGAACCCTGTACTTGTTAACTGGTCTGACAAATGGACCCTGCACAAAGTTTGGTTGTACTCTTTTACGACATCTGGACGGGCCACGGACATGTGGCCAATGTATTAGTTTTGTTATCTGTTACCTGTCATTGCACCGTTTTATGTGATTGTGCATTGTGAATGTTACTCATAAGTGTTACTACTTTCTTGTCTTTCTATTGTAAAATCAAAAGATTATCTTCATCTCTGTACCAGCGAACTTCACCACACTTTACACGTTTAAATTTGTTGTCTGTCTATTTCAGTTCCTTCGAATAACCTTTACGATTTCCAACTGTGGTTCGACAAGTAGACTTTTTTGCACTTTCAAGTCTTTGAATAATTGTGGTGATGTGTAAAAATTATCCACGTACAGATGACAGCCTTGGTCCAGCAATGGCTCTATCAACTTGAACACACACCGTAACCTAGAGGTTGACTCCTAGCCGATGGCACCCATGTACAAGTCAAAATTGTACATGTATGTGTAACCCGATTGATCTACAAGGACCCAAAACTTGTACCCCCACTCTGTTGGCTTGTCAAGCATACAGTGTATTGTCTGATTCCTGAGCATCCTTTCAATGCAATCATTCACTCATCCCCACTGACTGACTGATGAGGTTGCAGCAGATTTCTTTATACTTGATTTATGTGATCAGAGAGATCAGCTAACTTTCTTAGTTTACCATATTCTTTATTTTCTTTGGCCTGGTCAAATATGCAACATTGCCAATATGGCATGGAATATTCTGAAGCTCATAATGGATGTTGCTGGATTTATTTTCAACTGTTTAGAATCTCTCCAATAATATCTGAGTGTAGACAACTTGTAGATCCCCATGTATATCAGAGTCCAATGAAAATGGACATCTCTTTAGGAGACACGTCCTTCCACCATTAACAAATTACTTGCTGTTTCAGCACTGTGTCCTTTTAGTCATTTCCAAACAGCTTAATACAACGTGAATGACTAAATACATTCATTTCACTGCAAGTAGTGCAGAATTTCTTAGTACAAGAGGATTGTCCTGATTAACTTCACAGGTCATACATCTGTAAATCTAGTGACAAGCATACTATTTTCTTGCCTCTACGTTTTGTCTTATAGTAACTCTAACTCTTGCAATGTCTCCAGCAAAATGCTGATTGTGTGGGTTGGTTTAGACCCTGAATACATGCATAGCAATGCTACCTGTCTGCAGTCTTTAAGACGTCCAGAAATTGTCAGCCCTCTTCAATAAACCTTTAACATAATGACTTCATGGTTTGGTTACTTATGTGCTTCCCTATGGCAGTGAGGTGTGACACAATCCGTCAAGTCCCCTTGAGAAGTGCACATGAAAGCAAAGCATTACATCATTATGTTGGAGGTCTATCCCTCAAACTGTTTCTTCTGCTGCGTCCGCTTTTTATGCAGTTGGGAGACTAATGGTTCTATATTCTTAACTAGGTTGGTAAAATTCATTCAAGTGATGAAACACCAATGGCATAACTGGGACATGTACTGTTTGCCTCGTCTAAACCTTCAATGATACACCTTTGTCTCATTTGACAGCTGTTCTGGTGTTAAAAGAAAGACCGAGGTATTGCTTTTCCCCCTTTGGGACATTTATCAGAGATATGTTGACAGTTTTATCATATCTAATAGATTGGTGGCTGTTCAAAATGGTTTCATTTTTCTCAAAAAATAAACTCCAATCAATTCATCCATGCATGGACGGTGGTGAAATTGACTAATTTAGGACTAGGGAATGGAACACCAGGGGCATATCTTTCTGGGATACTCAATGATACTGTCAAAAATACTACCTGGAAGGTGGTCCAACAATCACAGATAGCAGCTTAGAATTTCCCTAGGTGCTTCTTATGACACAGTTTAGTCATCATTTTCAGCAGTTGTAAGTCATCACCTGTTGCAGTGTGATGTATTTTTCCATGTTAAATTTCAATCAGGGTCTGCAGCAGGGAAAATCTCATGAATCCTATCATCTGTCTCCTTTTGAGAGTCCAAAATCTACGCCGCTCATCCCCGTTTCATACCCGCTGCTATTGTGTATGTGACTATCGTCAAGTGGATGAGCTTTTACTCTGCCTGAGCCCACCCAGTGAATCCCTCAAATAATGGTTCTTATTCAGCTGAGTTTTTTCTCAGTTTATCATTGATGGCTCATCAACCAGACTTGACATACCCTGCTCCTTTTCCCGATTAATGGGAACCTCTTCTTTGGATTGTAATTGAATTGTACCTAACTGCACAATCAGTGCAGTAGTAACCTCTTCGCTGTTTGCCAGATAAGCGCCCGATCATTCTCCACACAAGAGAAACTGGGTCCACCTCTTCTGCTGTTTATCTCAATTTACGTAAACCTCCTCCTGAGATTAAGGAAGTGCTTTGTTTTGATTGGCTTTCATGTTAAATAACTGAGGGAAGCAGCCCTCAGCTAACTCCTCCTGTCCAAAAGCATGAGGCAACTTAGTAGCCATTGAACGTAACGTCTTGCAACACTTTCCTTATTGTACAGATTATTGTACAGATTATGGAGGACAAAGTAGGAATTTTATGCTTTGAACTTGTTCCAGAGAATGATCTGTTAAGCGATCTCTGTGGCTGTGTACATGTACATTAATTCTAATAGGTGTTGAGACTTGGAGTATATTCATGTTTTCCACAAGGCATAATGTAATTGATGTATACAGTTTTTTTGTTGTATCCTCTTTGCTGCTTTCCTACAAAAAGCTTGGAACAAAGTTGGTGACTGCCCAGGGTCAAAAACATCACTGTCCTTCGTTTTTTTTTCAAAATAGATTTTGGAATTTGCTAGTACATTAGCAATCACAGTAATCCAAAGGTCTTGCTGAAAGTTGTATTAGATACAACAAGCGGATTTTGAAAATTTGCCATCAGCTCTGTTTGAAATTCCAGAGTTTGAGACACTTGATGCCTATCAACGGGGAGGCCGGGTGATGCATTTTTCCAGTCTTTGTCAATTAGTATCTCATGAGCCTCATCAGTCGCAATATTGGAGGATGCGTGCCCTTTAATACTGGAAACTAATGCTCCTCTTTCAAAGTGCTCAAATACTGGCTTAGGAAGTCCATACATCTGACTGAGATGCAGAGGGATCAAGCGAGAGTAATTCTGTTTATCAAAAGCAGGAAAAGAGGACCCATGTTTTGAAGAGCAGCCAGTCGGCCATTCTGATTACCATTATGAATTGCAAGAAACATTGGCATATATGAAAAACAATCCTTTCTCAGAAAATTATTCCCAGATCTGAATGTTTTTAATTTCTTACGCATTTTAACAAAAGATAAACTAACTGTGGCCATATGGACACTGCAAAAACATTTCCAGCACTATCTTCTACATCGCGGAAATATGACAACTCCATCTCCAAATATCTTCAAGAACTTGTTTTGACTCTATGAATTTCATCATTTGTAAGTGACAAACAAGCACTAGTAGGCAAGACATTTGTACATGCATATTCAAGGAATGCTTGAACTGATAAGGGTATCATACACTAAGAAAAAAATCTGGGCCATTTTGAAACTTGCACT